TTTTTTTTTTTTTTTTCATATTTTAGAGCATCCATTGTGTGTTCTTGAGAGTTCGTTGCATACACATTTGATGTGTAAAGTTGAAATAAGAGTGAAAGTTGAAACTTTCCATTTATTGTGACGCGGGATTTTTCTTCGGTGTCACATTATTTTTTTCTATTAAAAAAGAAAAATAAATAAATTTGTTAACATTGCACAGGAAAACCAATATGATAAGGTGGGGATAGTTTTCGAGAAACAAACTGAAAAGAGAATTGAAATTTATTTATGGAGTTTTTACTTCTCCTTCAATTAAATAAGCTAAATTGGTTAAAAATTAAAAATAAATGAATAAAATACTAGTCCAATTACAATTAAAAACAATTTCAAACAGTATGAGTATGTGGCAATATCTAGAAATTAAAATTAAATATTTCAGACTTTAGATAAAAAAAAAATCTATAATCCAGAAAATTCAATAATTCAAAGTCCCCGTATTTGTTTCATTCTGAATTAAAAAAAAAAATGTTATCTTAATAAAATTCAAATAATGCAATATTTATTTTTTGTCAGATTATGTTAATAACTTAAAAGTCAAAAAGAGTACAATTGATGAGTGACGGTCACCACTGGAACCAGAACAAAGTTTAGACCAACTCTCATAGAATCACACATGTGACCATTGAGTACAAACTCCATTACAGAGACACAAACACCCGTAAAACAAAAACTCCATAAAGGAAACTGAAAGCCAAACACAATTGGACTAATCAAAATGAATACTAAGAAAAAATAAAAACAACAGACACCTAACAAACAAATTGAATAAAAATAAAACCTCCCCTAAACCTATCAGGCAAACTGCACTGCCAACCATCTCGACACACGAGCCACCACCCACAACAAAGAATCCTACCAGAGCAGCAAAACTAGACACCAAACTCGAATATTGCGGTCAAGCTCGAACCGCCTAGACTGATTTGGTGAAGAGGCTATTCTCAATCTAGATCTGAACTCCATCGATCTTTCAACATCAATTAGTTCTCGGTGGCTAAAAAACCATGCATCGAAATACTGATGTTAGTAGTTGACCTGGAGTCTAACCACCAATTGTTTCGAGGTATTGAAGCTAAATTAACTTCAAATCGAACAAACCAAAATAAAGAATGCACCTTTTTCACGCGCCTGACGGAGTACTTAGCACAATTTTTCTTTAAATGTCCATATTTCTTGCAGAAGAAGTATGAAATCTCCGCCGGATTACCCTTTGGAGTTGAACCCTTAGCAATCACAACCTTAACCGTCTTATGTTTTCTTTTAAAGTCACCAGCATATTCTGAGGAACCAATCATATGTACCACCTCAATCCTATTATGCTTCTTTCTTTCTCATCACCAGCATTAAAGAGTCTATTTTTCCTTTTGGCAGTTGTAATTAACCTTAAACTGATCATATTGAGTAGGAAGAGAGAGAGCATTGCTAATATGACAAACATGTCATCTGAAATGTCTAACTTTAGTGCCCTCAACCTAGAAGAAATATTGGGCATCTTAAGGATGTACTCCCTTATGTTACCTTTGTCGAGATACCTTATGGTAGTCTTTAAAAGAATACTCATTTCCGCCTTATCGTTTTTGGTAAAATGCTTTTTAATCTCGACAAGAAACTCTTTAGCGTAAGTGGTATTATCAGATATCGTTCCTCGAAAGATTTATGGAATTCTTTTTTTTTTATCATCATAAGACTATAAGACTAAGGCGATTAGACCTTTCCCACTTCTCAAAACACTGTTTTTCCTTAGTAGTGTTGTTCTCCGTAAGAGAAGTAGGTTGGTCTATCCTTAGTGCCAAATCCAGATCCATACAACCCAAAAAAATCAGAATTGATTCTTTCCAGTTCTTAAAATTGTCCCCATATAAAGGCATGTGGACTGGATAGTTAGTAGACACCATAGATAAATAACCTGAAGAGAAGAAAATAATAAATAGAGATACTCACATTATTACCCATAATGAATCATTTAAACCAAACATGGTTTAAACCCATAGCAAGATACCAAGTTACATTATTATCAAATATTTGGATAGTAATATTACTTGTAAGCGGTCGGTACTCTTGTTGTAATAATCAAATCTTGACAATAATTTCTGTCAAACAATAAAACTATCTTTGGATAGAATTAGTGTTCACATGAATACAATATAATTGTCACGGATTTATTATCACAAGTATATTTGTAATCCAGCCATGTGTTAGTTCACTTTTGGGTTAAACAACACACACATGAATTACAAAAATACAACAATCTTTATTATTTAAATACATTAATCTACACAAAAAGGTCTGTTTGACAACATTTTGTTTCAATCAATCTATTTAAATTAAACATGAGTACCGAACATTTAACTCAATATCGACGAACGAACTTGAAATGGGTCCTAATATAATATTTATCATAAAGTATATATTTTGTTGGACTGAAGATGCAATATTTTGTCCCAGCAAATAAATCATGTTCACAATATGTGATATGAAACCGAGCAGCATAATTTATAAACCAAAGCAAATAAATGAAGTCCAAAGGCATGTGATGCCAATGAAACTTCACATTACAAATCAAATCCACTGAATCCATTCACATGAATTAAACCTAACTAAAAAACTGATGTATAAATAATGTATTCATATTTAACAACAAATCCAAAAAAATCGAAACAATAAGATCCAAAATTGTTCAATTTCCAACATTCAGATAAAAAAATTCAATCACATGAACATTCGATTCAAAGTAACTGAATAGAGAAATTCATTACACAAAATAGGATTTCGAAATTAATTGATTCCGAAAAAAAACCAATATGAAGAGGTTTTGATACCAATTGATAGAATTTGAATTTAACTTTATGCGACATATATCGCTGAATAGCGAAATCGTGATTGCACTGAAATTGAAAAAAAGATCTTCCAAAAGATCGTGAAACTGTATTCTTGCCTCTCTTCCGTCGTACGAAGAAAACTGATAGAGGGAGTAGGGAAAACCTTGTTGTTTTTATTCTTCTTATCACTAAAAGACCAAGTGCGTTTATCACGGCTCTTAGGATTTCACTCATTGATAATTTTGACTCAAATTATTTGCTAATTAAAAAGCTTATGTTTATTATTATTTGTCCTCAAATAATATTATCACCGTGTGTCCACATTTAATCATTCCTCAATACAAATTAAGTTACTTAACCAATGTACAATAAGTTAATCACTTAATTTGGTTAAATAATATAATGACTCAATTAATCAATTACACATATTTAATCTCAAAATAAATCTAACATAACTTTCTATATCACATAATCTAAAAAATGTATACTAAATATAATTACAAAAAATATATATACTAAAGTGAAAATAGCTATTTTCACTCTGTTTTGAAGTCTTGTTAAGTTTTTCACACCGTCCAATAAAAAGCTAAGGGGGTGATTGTTTACAAAATATTTCACCTCAAAAAATTTCAACTCAAAATCTAACTCAACCCCACTATCTTTAATATTATTCATATAATTAAATAATACAAACCAATCATTATTACACATCACATCAACTTTAATTCACTATTCATCCACTCACATAATTTTAACTACTAATCATTTCCAATCATTTATCTCATACTTTATATCAAATCAATTTTAATCATTTTATTTAAATATTATTTTAATATAATTTTTAAATCCTACTAATAATTAACCACACTACTTTTTCAACTTTAACAATAGTTAACCAAAAAGAAATATTTTAGATGTGAAAGAAACTGGGTGAAAGGGGTGCGGTCCCACTAACATACAGCGCACCATGAGAGGGAAAAGCCCATATGAAGCCCAAGTGGGGTTCCATCCCAAAACAATTGGTGGAAGGAAGAGTAGCCCATTAGACTTATAAGGTGGGTCTATTTTCCATGTACGAACGATGTGAGACAACTCACAAGTGATATTCTAACTAGATGAAATATTTTATAAACAATCATGCCCTAAGTTTTTCACCTCAGAAAGTGCAAAAGCATTGTGCGATGAATATACGACAATTGCGCGATGACATTGTACGAAAGTTAAAAGTGCGAAGGCATTCGCATATCCCTTCGCCTTTCTCGGGTGAAAAAAAGTTAAAGTGCGAAGACATTGTGCGATGAATATGCGACAGTTATACAATTGATATGCGACAGTTTTTTCGCTTAACCTTCGCATATGCGACAGTTATACAATGAATATGCGACAGTTTTCACATATCTTTCGCACTTTCTAGGGTAAAAAACTTAACTTTTTATTGGGCGATATAAAAAACTTATTGTGTCTATGTATTGAGGTGGAAAAAAGATTTTTTTCCCTATACTAAATATCCCAAATTTATTTTAAAATTGATCAGCAACACGTTTTTGTGAGGCAAGTGGGGAAAAAAAAATGTCCAATTTATTTATAAAAGTAGACCCCAAAAATTAAATATTAAAAGGTGATGTCCCCCTGGACCCTTACCCCTCTCCACATTTATTTTCTATTTTTTCTTAATTTTATTTTTCTTATTATTCCCATTATATATTTATTTAATTTAATTATTTGTTTATTTATTTATTATTTAGGCTCTTTCCTTGCACCTCTTTAATTTCAAAAAACGAGTCCATTCATGAAGGTCCCTCAACTAGACCGGTCTTAGTCAACCCTTACACTCTCCCCACACGCCCTCTCTTCTCTCTCTCTCTCTCTCTCTCTCTCTCTCTCACTTCACTTACACGTGTCACTTTCTCTCTCCTCTCTCCTCACTCATAAACAACATGAGTGAGCTGGAGAGAGATGCCTTTGTAGCACTCTTAAGCTGTACTTGATAAGGCAAACTCTTTTATTTTTTACTTTATTTATTTATTTTTTTAAATTCTTGCATCTATATATAACCCCCTCAACACCCCTCATTTCATTCACTCATCCCATCATTCACTCATCCCACACAAACCCAAAATCCAACAATGGAGTTCATCTCTTTGTTTTACCTTCTAGCAACCTTAACATCCTCACTCTTCATCGTAAAATTTATCCGGTCGGGTCGGGCCAAATTGCCCCTCCCTCCCGGCACGATGGGCTGGCCGTACGTCGGCGAGACCTACCAACTCTACTCCCAAAACCCGAACACTTTCTTCGCCTCCAAAGTCAAGAAGTAAGTAAAGCTTTCCTACTTCATTTTCTCTAAAAGAAAATATATATATATCAATCTTGATCAAAATCACTAATTTGTTGGCCATTTTTTTTTTTTAATAGATATGGTTCGATATTCAAGAGCCACATACTCGGCTGCCCGTGCGTGATGGTCTCGAGCCCGGAGGCTGCAAAGATGGTCCTCGCCTCGAAAGCCCATCTCTTCAAGCCCACATTCCCTGCTAGCAAAGAGAGAATGCTTGGCAAACAAGCGATATTTTTCCACCAAGGGGATTATCACGCCAAGCTCCGGAAGCTCGTTTTACGCGCTTTCATGCCCGAGTCCATCAAAGACATGATCCCGAGTATCGAGTCCATTGCTCTCGACTCCCTGGTGTCTTGGGAAGATAGACTAATCACCACTTATCAAGAAATGAAGACAGTAAGTTCAAATCCTTTGAACAAAGCAGGGGAAAACAGGGGAAAAAACAGAGTCCCCTGTTTCTTGTTGAATAAGCAGTGATTTTTTTTTTTTTGGTTTTGTGCAGTACACTTTCAACGTGGCGTTGCTTTCGATATTCGGAAAAGATGAGATTCTTTACCGGGAGGATCTCAAGAGGTGCTATCACGAAGTCGAAAAAGGTTACAACTCGATGGCGGTTAACTTGCCGGGCACGCTTTTCCACAAGGCAATGAAGGCCCGTAAAGAGTTGGCGAAAATGCTCGCCAAGATTATAACCGTGAGGAGAGAAATGAAGCAGAGCTATAACGATTTGCTCGGGTCCTTCATGGGGGATAACGAGGGCTTGTCGGACGAGCAGATTGCCGACAATATTATCGGCGTTATTTTCGCGGCACGCGACACGACCGCTAGTGTTCTCACTTGGATCTTAAAGTTCTTGGCCGAAAATCCGAGCATCTTGGAAGCCGTCACGGTAAATGTTATAGATTTTAAAAAAAAAAATCGTAACTTTTATTCTTCGAAAAGTGTATTTTCGAACGAAAATTTGGTGATTGAAGATTTTTAATTTTTTTGGATTTCTTGCAGGAAGAGCAAGAGGCTTTGATAAGATCAAAGGAGGAGTGTGGGGAGAGTAAGGGCTTGAGCTGGGCAGACACAAAGAGAATGACTAAAACAGTTAGAGTTATTCAAGAAACTCTAAGAGTTGCCTCAATTTTGTCCTTTACTTTCAGAGAGGCTGTTGAAGATGTTGAGTTTGATGGTAAGTTTGGAAAAATAATATATATATATATATAGGGAAATGTTACAATCCCGTTTACGGAACAATCTCGTCGGAAGTTTTAACCGTTGGATACACATGTAGTTATTATAAGATAGATGATCTAACGGTTAACACCGACATAATGATTCGTAACGGAACCGTAGCATTTCCATATATATATATATATATATATTATGATATAAATTAAAATATTGAAATTGATTGATTAACTTATGAGTTAATAAAGTTTTATTTATTGTTTTTGTTTTGGGTGTTATAGGATATCTTATTCCAAAAGGATGGAAAGTGTTGCCACTCTTTAGGAACATTCACCATAACCCAAA